TTTTCACCCACAAGTTAGTTAGCCAGCGGCAATGTTAGAGTATTAAACCTCCACTGCACTAGACGCAAACACAATCCCTGTGGCAGAACCACCAAAACACTATTTTTTTACAACATACAGTTAAAAATTCTGAGATTTTATTCTTATACATAGATGTAGCATTAGACTGTGACTGATTTTAGAAATAATTTCAACTACATGTTTTGATATGATTTCTTTGCTACAAATGAATGCTCAATATTTTTATTTTCATTTCTATTAACAATTTTTTATTTTCCATGGACTAGTACGATTATATGTATCTCAAATATTGTAAATGTTTTCTTATTTGAATATATTATTAATAATTTGATTCTTTTATGTTCGCAATGCACATTTTCGTAGTACTTTTCAAACGTAAATATTAAAATTCACTGTTTTCAAAGAACCGGCAAAATAACAAATTCATTATATTGCCGGTGCCGGAAAAATAGCCATTGCTATAGAAATATGCTATTTTGCCAGCTTTAATTAAGACATTTTATTCAGAGCCGGCAAAATAGCATATTTTTTATTTTGGCGTCGCCGACAAACTAGCCACTGCCTTTTGTAAAATGCCTAAAACAAATAGTCAATATATAAAATGTCTGAATCTGACAGGCATTTTAGAAAATGCCTAAAGTTTTCGAGCATTTTACAAAATGCCTAAATTTAGACAATGCCTGTAACATGTATATATTAAACGGTTTAGATTATAATAAACATGTTCAAGTGATTGTGACCACAATCTACCTTCAGGTAGATCGGGTGTTTTCCGCCGTCTTGAACTGTAAACTATTCTGAGCAGAAAATACTCGGATCTTCATCTTTAAGTGATAAATGCAAATTTTGACTCCGACAGGAATGCGATTAATTTGTAGACTTTTCATCTAAATGATGATAAATCAGGAGATAACTGTGTTGTATTTTCAGCTTGGCCTTCGTAAAACGTAGATTTTACTGTCGCAAATTGAGTTTACATAAACACTAGACGAGTTTATACTTTTCGTACGCTTCTGAGTGGTTTAAATATTGACAAAAAGACTTTGATGCACAAAATGTGACTTTTTTATTTACTTTTTGAGAAATTACATACCAAAAAAAAATCGGAATACAAAATCATCGAGTGGCCTTCCTTATAGTTGCGGACTTGTGGAACATGGACTCTAACCCTTCAAAATATTTGTCAACGTCCTATGAAAATTATCGTTCTAAACGAATTACATTAGAATTTGTCTTTTATCTCAATATTACGACTGTTTATACAACTATAGAATTTTTTTTGATTGAATCCACCCAAACTAAACGTGACATAAAAGGGGCCGGAATAACTTAGAAACAGGCATTTACATTATTTTTCCCATTTTCGTTTTGTAACGTCAGAAAACGAGTTCCGTGACCCCGATTTTTCTCTTTTTTTTCTGAAAGCACTGACATTACAAGACCTATTTCCTCATATCATATTTTAAAATAAAATATGAGGAAATAGCTAGGTCACTATGATAGTATCATTTAGTTTTCTTTCTCACGCCAAGGGTACAAATCCTTGCTCACGCACATATTTTTTTGCATGTATAATTTTTACAAAACTTGTTTTGCACAACCCGTAGCTGGGGAAAAGGTTGTGACCAATACTTTCAAGTTTCATAATTAAGTTGTTATATTTTGGAAATAGCATGCTATCATGAAATTCAGGCGAAGGTGTCCAAATATCTATCAAGTTTAATTCAGACCTAAAATCAAAACTTTAACTTAATTGCATAAAATCAAAACTCTAACCTATCATCCCGAATTAATGTTGTCTATATATATATATATATATATATCAGTGGCGGAACCAGAAATTTTCATAAAGAGGATGGGGGAGGGGCACTTACTGCAATAAGAGGGGGCCCGCTCCAGTTATGCTTCAGTGGTCCCTATATAATCAACCAAATTTGTCCCACAAAAGGGGGCGGGCACCCTGCCCCCTCTTAAGCCGCCTCTGTATATATTAAACAGTTCATTTCATTAATTTGAACTTCGGTGCTCATGTGTATACTACGTTTCAAGTTGTAGTAACCAAAAACTCTCGAGGAGGGGGGGGGGGGGTACATCAATACTTAATTGATAGGGGGTGCCGCTGGGGTTCAGTTACCCCACCCTTTTCATATAATTTAGATTTTAAAAATGTATACCTTTTCATATATTGCGTACGTAAAAATGTAACCTTTTCCAATATTGTTTGGGTTTCGTGTGTGGTGTGTTGGAAAAGTGGAATACCAAAGAGGCAAAAGAGGGTATGTTTGTGGATAAAAACACAGCCGTAACACCAAGAAAGTTACATGGTTCATATAACAAGTAATGAAAACTTTATTGAACTTATCATATATTTCTGATAGTTTTGCCCACCTATTCACATATTTTCAAACTGGAAAATGTGACCTATTCCAGCGGCACGTCCTATCACCTTGTATATAGGAAGTGCCCCCCCCCCCCCCCCCCCCCCCCTCTCCTCCCCCGAGCACAAACTACCTTAAAGCAAGACTTTTAACTTTCTTAATAATACACTTAAACCTGATACTGGACGGACAGACGTACAGACTGGAAAATATAATAACGTTGTGCACGATGTTCCTACAACACGACGTTACACCAAAAATGGGACGTCGAAGAGTGTTTTCTGAAATTTTGACGTCGATTAATTAAATTTGTTAGTTTCATTCGTTTTTTTTTATATGTTATGGGTTGATTCTGTCTCTGTTATTTTTGTGATGTATTTTTACCAGGAATTACCTCAAGTTGTAGAAATCGATTAACAATGTTTACCCTTAATTCCCCTTAAAATGCTGTATTGTCGTAGATAATGTAGGAAGGCAAAATGGGACGGAATTATTAAATATATAGTTTTCCATAAATAAATTAAAACATAATTTTAGAAGCACAAAACTTTAATCACAGGCTGCTAAAATTTTATGGTGCATATCATATGTCATTGTAAATTTTCCATATCTTGATTCAACCCCAATACAAATATATCCGACACTTTGCAAGTAAATCATTTTTTTACCCTTGATTAATTTGAAATGAATTGTACTTTCCTTGACACACAATTTGTCCAAATACAGCCCTTCAATTATTTGAACCCCAGCTTCAAAATTATTTCCCCAGTCATCTATAGTTTCTTGCTTAAGTTTTCTAACGTCTGGTGTACTTTTTAAATTTTAGAAATCTTCTCCTGGATCGTCCGTAAAAACGGGCAATACAATCCCGGGTTGTATTATTTCAATGAAACTGTTTTCGTCGATGTTTGTAATTAGTCTTTCAGTTACCTCCGTTTCATGCACAAGTTTATTTTGACGAAAAGGTCCGGCTTCGCTAGTACATGAATTAGTTTCAGTGCGACAGTTATAACATGAGTAGCAGGACAAGTCGTGAACTAAAACTTTTCGAGTACTTGTACTTTTAATTTGGTGAATGTACCTTACTGAAGGGGCGACTTTAAATGATCTATATCTATTTCAGGGTACTTCCGCAACATAACGAAAAATTCACCTTAAACATATACAGGACTGTCTTGGTGTCTCCAAATTGTCTTTGCAAAAGTTGTACATATCATTCGCATTCTGATGCAAACATTTGCCTCTAGCAACAATAAATCACTAAAAGCTAAAAATGCGGGTTATAAAATATCAAAATTTAATCTGTGTCGAATCTATGTTCCGAGTTTGTCAATATGCACTATTCTTTTTTCGACAGCCTTCAATATCTTTTTCCAAATTTCACCACACGATTTGTTTTTTTCATTATAAGGAACATTTAATTGAAACAAATTTAGCACGATGCAACGTCTGAAATAAGCGTTTTTCGGATTTTCGACGTTTTCACCCGTTTGGACAAAATGACTACCGTTTTGTAATGTTTCGTAGCATTTTATTCCTTTCAGACCCAAGCATGTAGTTAATAAAAAACAAATCTAGGCATTGTGTACTCTTCGTGTATCTAACTTTTGTTTTTATAAATTATTAATAACTTATTGAAATATCAGGTAAAAAAACCGCATTCATTGCTTTGACAAATGATATATCAACTTGGACAAAATGACTACCGCTTGAAAAACGACTGTAAAGAGAAGATTTCATAGAATCTACAATATTTGAACTCACGAACAGGCAAATATTTGTACTATTGGTAGATGTTATTATTATCATAGGCTTATCATTTTTAGACATTTTCTGCTATATCTACTTATAAAATACACTTTCAGTCGTTGAGTCAACGAAAAACGTCGTTGGACATTTTTCTTATTCCAGCTTAATATATATGCAGCCGCCGAGTCAAATGAAATTTGACAAAATAATGACTTATTTGTCACAAAGAACCGACACATGTCGTCGTTCTCGCCAAGTTTCGGGAAAATCAGAGAAAGAGAAATAGGATCACTATACATAACAGTTTTTCAAAAATGTAACGTTGGACATCCGTTTTATCACATGTAGCTTTGTTGTTTTAATCCTCAAATATACTAGATATTACTTAGCATATGACCAAGAGCTATAAGAACATTATTGAAAACATATACTGAATTTGATTTTATAGTGGTTAGTGTTTGCTAACATTTTTTTTTTTGGTTTTGCGGAGGAAATGTCGATGATTCTTTTTTAAATCCTATGGGTTGTAGGAACAGCGTGCGTAACGTTAATGCCCTTTTACCTAGAGTGTGATTGCATTACAATCTTTGACTTCCTCGAAAATTATTCATGTGTAAAATTGATCAATGACTTCATCTGCTCCACATCACGCCCAAACTCTCGTGAGAATTTGCGTGTTCAGATTCAAATGCTGTATTATTCCGCATTATACTTTAAAGCGGTTCTGGACTAAGATCTCGAGAATTGTTTATTGAGCTGATATTTTTCTAGCAGCTGTAGTATTAAAAGAGCGCTTTCTTGTCATATGTTAAGAAATTTTGGTCAAAATTGTGGACTATTTTGTTCGCCATTTTGCGGAAGTTTTGACCACCGCCATGGGTGATAATACCGCTTACAGAAATGGAACTTGACAGAAAACTGTTACAATTTTCTCTTGTTATATGTTGTTGTTCAAAGTCCAATTAATACAACGAAATAATAGTTTTTGAATGTAAACAATTTAGATCCCTTCTAAGAGTCAAAACAGTCCTCTACTCTGATAAATACACCTGTAAACATTGAGGTAGGTGGAGACCAATATAAAATGACACCGGTGACTTTCTCGTTCAGCTATTTGACATTACACTACCATTTACACTTTAATTCATGAAGGAGTTCATAGAGTTTCAGATAAGATCACGCTTCAAAATGATATAATAGCAGATCTTCTCTAAATCTAATATATTGACAAATGAATATTTACTTGTAAAAATACTGTATTGCACCAATTTTCAAATAAAATTAGATTGTGTACAATATTTATAAAATAACTTTACACAAAACACCAAAAAACACTTTATCAATCTCTTCATGTACATTGTGATACTAAAGATATTAAGGAATGTATTCTTATTTAGACAGAATTAGATTATTCTGACAGCAATAAATAAGTGATTGGCTAACTGCGCACCTTAGACTATGGCTTAGAATTTTTGGCTTCACTTTGGTTAACTCATAAAACAAATAATAAGTTAATATTTGCGTGAACAAATTCTTGACATACTTTATAGTTTAATTTCATGAAATCTTCTTAATGCAGTGCTGTCAAGTCTTGCACAATTTCCTTGAGACTCACTCATTTACATGCTCACATGTATTTGGCGGCATTTTCCTTTGCTCTATTGCTTTTTCTCTTTACAATTTTTGCCAAATCTCACGCATTTCATAAAATTTGACTTAGAATGATGTAAATCTTTTTATAGAAAATGGTTAGATATGGTTAATCATGGGATTGCAATTAATAACTTATGCTTGAACTTATCAATTTAAACTTTTCTGAATCTTCGGAAGACTTAAACAATTACAAGAACGATTCTATTTGTGTTACATTGCAGATATGACGAAATCAGGTAATGCATGACATTACCAGCAGCGCAGACACGGGGGATTCTACTGTAATTATCAATATTTGATTATCACTGTGACACATTTTGATCAGTTCCAATTTAAGCTAATTGAATCAATTACCCATCTAGAATTAGATTGACATAATACAGTGTGGTCCGAGTTTTTGCTTTTTATTTTCAAATTTTTGTGTTTCTTTATACACAATTCCTGTTGGGATTCTGTGTCTGGAGCGATTTTCTGATTTGGCTGCCCGCAAACTCCCTTATCAAGCCCCATTAACTCTATTCAAGAAAACTTTTATAAACCTCACCTCCAACTGGGTACCTTTAATGCCTACAGATCCATTCTGTATACCCACAGCACGTAAGAATTGAATAGCAGACATATCAGCCTTTAAGAATTCGAATCTGTTAAAATTTTGAAATACCTTCAATTAAACCTGTAAATGGGATGGGCTAAGCATGTTCAATTATTAAAAAAAGAAAAGAATGTCAATATTGAAATGTGAAACAAAGCAGCCACTGGAAAGATCCCTTTCACTAAGGTTTAAAAATAAATTTTATGTGTTTCCGGTAACACCCTTTTCAAATTAGGGTAGGTTGGCAGGTTTTTTTTTGGGTGTAGAGGGTGCAGATGGTCAATATGGATTAGCCCTGGTGGTCATAAGTGAACCAAGGTTATTCAAAGAACTATGATTTTTTACAATGATTGTAATGTCTTTCACGTCGCCGACTGTCATATTTGGTGTTACTTGGTAAACTTCCCCACTGGCACCGTTCAAGATGCATTCAATTTTTATTTGAGCTAAACTTCCATCAAACTCCATCGATGCTCCAAATATTTCAGTAGGTTTTTAGCCTCCAAGTGCTGACATTTCGCAATTTTGATTGCAAATACTGAACTGGCACGGGCGTTCGCCATAGCGTTCTTACGGTGATAATGCGCCTCCACACCGGAGAGCGATTGAAATGCAATAAAACGCCGAAATTCCAGGTTTTTTTTTGTTTTTTTGCCAACACCATAAAAAAGTTAGGGTTGGGGGACACAAACTAGGGTCGGCCAGGTTACCAGAAACACATATTTTTAATATATAAGGCCTTACTGATTGTACTCACAAAAAATCATTAGAGTAGAGGTACAGTCTGCATCAAAATTTTTAAAAAATACTGGTCCGAAGACCAATATTTCGACATTTTCTTATGTGTCTTAAAGTTTTGTAAATACTTACTAGCCCGAATAGAATGTTACATGTCTGGGGCATCGGATTAGTGGCTAAAGGTGAAGACTGCAGGTACAACGAAGATTAACATATTTTTTAATCTATGACATGAAATCACACAGACTTAGAAAAATCGTCATTATACGATTGCACATGCTTTCCTGTGTATATATTTTTATATTTATGTTTACATCAAGTCATATGACCTATGGAATTCCTAGGAGATCATCTCAATAATTAATTAGATGTCGTCTATTCTTAAATACACACAAAATAGTGATACATTATAACGAGTCCATGCATTGTAAACTGCTTCTTTATATTATACGCCCATTTACGGGACGTATTATGATATACCCTTCTCTAACCTGTCTGTCTCTCCATCATCAATAACTCAAAAATTCTTTCACCAATTTTCATGTTTGGCTTCATTTATAGATTGGTATTTAATTAGAATAAATTTTAAAGATTGTTGATTAATATATATAATGCACACCTCACCAATATTGTCACTATTTCGTTCTGACAAAATGGGTCATTGTGGTTTGTTCCTGCAACAATCAGTAGCTGGTCAAATCATGGGAATACTGGTTTCCTGTTTCACCTGTAATAAATGTGACAAGAAATTATAATTTAACAACCAGTTGAAGTTATTTTAATGGCAGAGTGGCCTGTACGTTCTCCAAGAGAAGTTGGAACATAACATTTTGATGATTTCTTCAAAAACTATTCGTTTCAAATCATTTGTTGTTACCTCTAACTTATTTAATTTAAAAAATTGCAACAGCATCAATTAAAACTATGTCATTTTCTATTTACTCCATAAAAAATTGCAAAAGGCAAACAAAGTAAATAACCATATTTAAATTGGTCTCCATATATATTTGTTGTACATGTAGATTACCTATTGCTTGCAAGGTGACCTATAATTGCTAACATCCACATCATTTGGACTCTAGTAAAGGCAATCTGATCATGCCACATCTATCTATTTTTATGTTGACATTTTGATCTATATTACCAGTATTAATATTTTTATCATATTTTGGGTTTATTGGCATGCCATCTTATACAATAGTTATACATTTTTATCTCGTTTGTATTCACATATACTCCTTTCATTTCAGATTTGAGGGAAAAAGATGGGGAAGTTACTATCCAAAATATTTGGTAACAAGGAGATGAGAATTTTAATGCTGGGCCTTGATGCTGCTGGAAAAACAAGTATCCTTTAATTGCCAAAGTTATTAGTGTTTCCTACAGGATGTTTTGGCGTGGTATGGCTCCCGGTTGTTTTTTTCCTGGCGTCGTGTCCCTTTTTGTGGCATTTTACAACACCCTGCCGTAATTTAAAATCAGTTCTGCAATTCATCTTTTAATGAGACCATTTCGAGTTATTTCAATTTGGACGCAATCACGATTTTAATGGCCAACACTTTATTGAATTTTGTAATTATGTTTGATCATTTTGAAGCGACCAAGTACAATTAGGGTTCATGATTGAATCTTATAAGGACAACATCAACTTTGTACCTATTCAAATTTAGAATGTAGACAATTTTAAAGGAAAAAAAGGTGATTGTCTGAATTTTGAGATATATGCCATAATATGGGATGAACATTATGTAAACAATCAGCTGTTTGTTTATATTTTCATATTAAGTATGACCATGCCACTTTAACTATTTGATCAGTCGAGACGTCACTTTGGGTGTGAATTTACGACAGCTTTCTTACTGTTGTTATCTAAATAAATGGAAGTTAAGATTGATTAAAACAAGGCAGTTGCACTATCAACATTGTATTAGCTGAGTCTAGAAGTGATAATTTGTATCGTATATTGGTATGACATTGGTTTTCGCACTCTAACTTTAGTTTAAGTGAATGGATCTCTATGAAATTTTACCATAAGGTTCAATATACCACAAAAGGAAGGTTGGGATTGATTTTGGGGGTTATGGTACCAACAGTTAAGGAATTATGGGCCAAAAATAAGCATTTTTGTAACTTCCAGACATAACTTGTGTGTTAGTGTATGGATCTCTCTGACATTGTACCACAAGGTTCTATATCTTAAAGGGAATGCTGGGATTGATTTTGGGGATAATTGCCTCCAAATTTCAGGAATTAGGGGCCAAGAAAGGGGCAAAAAACAAGCATTTTTCTAGTTTCATGACAATAACTTGTGTGTAAGTGTATGGATCTTTATGAAATTGTACTACAAGGTTCCATATATCACAAAGGGAAAGCTGGAATTGAGTTTGGGGGTAATTAACCAAAACGTTTAGGAATAAGGGGCCAAAAATAAGCATTTTTCTAGTTTCCAGACAATAACATGTGTTCAAGTGTATGTTTAGGAATAAGGGGCCAAAAAGGGGCAAAAAAATAAGCATTTTTCTAGTTTCCAAACAAAAACTTGTGTTCAAGTGAATGGATCTCTCTGAAATTGTACTGCAAGGTACCATACCACAAAGAGAAGGCTGGGCTTGATTTTGGGGGTAATTGCCTCAAAATTTTGGGAATTAGGGGCAAAAAAGGGGCAAAAAAACAAGCATTTTTCTAGTTTCAGGACAATAACTTGTGTGTAAGTGTATGGATCTTTATGAAATTGTACTACAAGGTTCAATATCATGAAGGGAAAGCTGGGTTTGAGTTTGGGGGTAATTGCCCTAAACTTTTAGGAATTTGGGGCCAAAATTTTTTCTAGTTTCCAGACAATAACTTGTGTTCAAGTGTATGGATCTCTCTGAAATTGTACTGCAAGGTACCATACCACAAAGGGAAGGCTGAGATTGAGTTTGGGGGTGATGAATCATAAGGGGTTTCAAAAAATTTGTGGGGGATTTTTTTTCCATTTTTTTCTTTAAAATTTTCCATTTTAAATTGGTTATTTCTGATTTATATATAAAAGCAAATAATAATGATATGGTTTGAATAGGTAAATTAAAATTTTTTAAGTTCTTAGACCACATTCATTCTGTGTCAGAAACCTATGCTGCGTCAAATATTTAATCACAATCCAAATTCAGTGCTGTATCAAGCTTGAATGTTGTATCCATACTTGCCCCAACTGTTCAGGGTTCGACCTCTGCGGTCGTATCAAGCTGCGCCCAGCGGAGCATTTTATTTCAAAAAGGAGATAAATTAATATCCTTATATATAGATATCTGTATTTCTAACCAGTAAATATGAAACAATGGTATATTTCAATTAAATCCCTATCCATAACAGTGGCTTCATATGTAAAGGGAGCCATAAATGTGTAGTCCTCAAAGCAAAAGGTGTCCTTAATGTGTAGCTAGTTGTGTTTAGAGTGCCCTCTGAGAAAAAAAACTTGCGTCCTTTTCAAAAGCTGCAGGAAACCCTAGTTAATTTAAATATTTATTTAAGACTTAAAATCCAACTTCGTGATTTATATTACAATGAAAAAGGGGTTCAAGTAAACAGGTAGTCCCCTTCCCCCCCCCCCCCCCCCCCCCCCAAAAAAAAATATAGAAATCTGCATCCTGGCAGAAAATTTTTATATGTAGATGTGGACTTGATCCGGAAATATTGTGGACTTAAATGATGCTTAAATGTCTTGACTTCAGTGGTGCTGAACCAAAATGTTCACATTCACAAAATGTGTTTGGATAAGTAGGGAGGCAGGAAATGGAAAAATTTAGAAAAATTGGTCAATGATGTATTTCTTACATCATCTGAGCATCTATTGCTTGGATCTGGGCTGTATTCTGATGTTCTGTTATCTTGACTCAATAGTTGACTTTGCTTTAAAGAAAAATGCTAAGCTTGCATTTTGCAATATATATCTTGTTAATTTTAAGTTGGAGTCTAGTCTATTTTCTTATTTATGATTTTGGGATATACATGTATTGAAGGCCTATATCCATGTGGTTAAGATGTCAAATTGTAATTCTGTACTAATAAAGACAACAACTCCAATAAAATACAATCATTGGTCATTTGCATCATTCAAGACAACACATATGTTTGTTGCTATCCAGATATGAAGAAAAGGAGGTGTGAGGCATAACTCAATGAAAAGTAATCTAAAGAAACAAATCTAATTAATTGCACATGATTACTACATGTAGTACTAGTATATGTAGTTATATTCTGTTATTATATAGTAACAAAAACAAAATATAAAATACCTAGAATTGGATGTTTATCCTCGTTCAACATGTTCAAACAAAAGGAAATGTATTGAATCCCTTTAAGCTGCATTTTATGTTTAAATGCTTGGAAATTGGAATGTTATAGAACTTTGTTGAGTTTTCAGATGATAGAAAAGAATAAAAAAAATTGTGAATATGATACATGTATTAAAATTTACTACATATACATGTGTATTAAATGGGGTGCCAATTAATCTACAGATTTCACAATGAATAAGCACAAAAAGCATGATGTAATATTTACTTGTAATATACCAATATTGACTCCTTCCTTAATAAATATCAGTTTTTCAAAAGTAAATAACAACATATTTACCTCATCTGGTCAAAACACAATATTTTTATTATTTACAGTGTAAATGTAATTAAACTTCTAAAAATAGATTTTTCCTTAACAGCGTTTTCAGCAATTTTATACAAATTAAAACTAGGACAGTCTGTGACGACGATACCAACTGTAGGATTTAATGTAGAAACTGTAACTTATAAAAATGTCAAATTTAATGTATGGGTGAGTATTGTTATAAAAATGTCAAATTTAATGTATGGGTGAGTATTGTTATAAAAATGTCAAATTTAATGTATGGGTGAGTATTGTTATAAAAATGTCAAATTTAATGTATGGGTGAGTATTGTTCTAAAAATGTCAAATTTAATGTAAATATACTACTGCAACAGTTTGTCATTGCAACTCCTCTGATTCTTTGTAGTTGATAAGGATATACTATGTATATGTGCATATGTACAGGAAATTATGATCAAAGTTTTTTTCTAGGAGTTATGCTCCTTTGGCCCTTTACTGCTGTAACAGTTTGTCATCACAACTCCTCTGAAACTGCACAACAAAATTTCATGAATCTTTGCCGTAGGTGACAGGAGCATTAAGTGTTACCCTTAACCCCCGTCTTTCTGTTGGTCCAATTTTCGTTGCAAAGCTTCAGCGGGGGGATTTGTGTCCTCAGACATATTCTTCTTTTATTTTCTAGGAGTAATGCCCCTTTGAACTTACAATATTTGCCTATACCATGTATACTAGTGTTACAGTTTGTCATCACAACTCCTCTGAAACCACACAACAGAATTTCATGAAACTTTGTAGTTAATGAGGACATAATATGTAGATGTGCATATCCACAAGAAATTTTTTAGGCGTTATGAGTATATGCTAACAAAGGTTCTTTGATTTTAAAAGGCATACAATTGCAGAGTAACATATTAGAAACAATTAATCTTCAAGATTGAAAATAACCACCATAATATTGGTAGATCTAAGTAAGATAACCCTTTGACCATAGTGCCATTGTGAAACTAAACATTTTATACAAATTATACCTAACTTTCTGAAGGATCTATTTATTTATACATGTTATAGGGTTTGACAAGGAGATAATCCCTGACATTTATTCATACAGGATAGTTTTAAGCATCAGAGACTGTCTGTTATGGCAGTCATTTGTTTAAACTGAAAAGAAGTGATATTGTGAATAAATTTACTAATAAAATCTCTCCAAGCACTTGAAAAGACCCAAAGCATTACACATATGTTCCTTTTGAAATTAGAGGTTTAAAAGTTAATACATGTATGTCTTGGATTTCTGACCTTTCATAAGTATTGTGTAAGGATGTCTTTTATGTTGGAAGAGAAAAAGATCTGTCTAAATATTCAGTTTTCTTAAGTAAAACTGAATGTTTATGATAAAGTTCTGAATTTGAAGTGTTTGGGGAATTGATTTTAGCAGTTGGGTAAAGATATTCCCTCTGTTGGAAATAAACACATATGGAATATAACAGTTTTACTGTAAATTGAGATCTAGTAACCCAGACTTTATTTACTAGTCCATGACTATATTTTCCTCACTTTAGCTGCTAGTAGGGATATTATGTTCAAATTTTAAGATTTAGTGATTGAGGGGTTTGTCTGTCTGTCATTCCTTCGTTTTTTTTTGTCCTTCTGTCACACTTTGATATCTGCAATTGCTCCTGTACTGTTTGACACAATTTTGTTAAACTTTCACAGAATCTTACTCACATGAAGCACTTTTGCACCATTTATTTCATTTCATTATCTGATTAATTTTTTCTTTTGGATGACATGGACTACCTCATATCTGCACACTAGTAATTGCATCAGTTTTCCCTAAACCCCTCATAATTTAATAAAACTTTCTCAAAATCTTAACCATATAATGTCATTGTGCACCTTTTATTTCTTTTGATCAAAATTATTCGTTGGGGTTTCCAATACAAATGCATGGACTTGCTTTATTAGAGGGTATTAATTTTTTATTCACAACTCCTCCTAAACCCCTGATTAATTTAAACTCTCTCACAATCTTACCCATATAAATGCTATTGTGGAACTCCTATTTTGTTTTTTGAGAGTAATAATTTTTTGATGTTCAGCAAACAACGTGTGTTATTCAGAACATATTTATATCCTCCTAGACTCATCAGAATTTGATGAAATTTTCTCAGAATCTTCATATGATGTCATTATGTACCTATTTTATTTTTTATCTGATTTTTGTGTATGCACCTTGTAAGCAAGGACTGGAGTATTATTTTGTGAGCTATGCTCACAGTACCTCTAGTTTCCACTTGTGGTTTTCTTAAAACTTGTCTTTCCCAAATTGAGCAAATATTTTTGTTAAAAGATACATGTACCTGTACTAAGACAGCTATTTGATAAGTAAGAAGGAAATAATTTTCTGATATCTTAAATCTTTCTGTTTAAACAGGTGAAAGTCATCAAAAAATTATTTAAAATTCTCTTGTTTATTAATAGCAGAATATTACATCGTTTTGAATTTTTAAGGATGTTGCACAAGTGAATACATGTAGTAGTAATATAACAAGTAACCCTTTCAAAGTCATGTTACAATAAAGGTCATCAAGTTAGTTATTTATTAATGACTGAAAAATGTGTGTACTGGAGTGATTCATACAATGATAGGACAAGGTGTAATAAGTTTGAAGTGTTTCTACTTCCTTGATGTAATTACTGCTTAATTTCCTTGTCCTTTACATAATACAAATTCATATCATAAGGACTTAGTCTTATAGTAAAGAATAATGACAAGATCTTAAGCCAAAGTTGAGGAGAATGTAATTGGTACATGTACTATCTTTAATAATTTTAGAACCTCTAACTGTTTCATATAGGTGGTAGTACTTCAGAAAAAGAAAAAAAATGGTATATTGAAACTTGTGACTGTAAAAAGTTTTCTTCTTTTTTTTTGTGTTGGCATTATTAAAATCATAGGGCTGTTCCATAAATGAAAAGGAGTGAAAACTGCTTAAAATGCTTAAGGATGTTCGCTACTCTGTTTCAAAATAACAAGCTTTTTAAAAGACTGTTATAAATTGATAGTATATAAATAAAGGAACTAAAAAAGCAGAAAAAAATGAAGGGTCCGTGTGCTTGTTTTCGAGATATAAGCCATTGAAAATTTGGCGGGAAATAACTCTCTCTCTAGACTTTTCATACATTTAACATTGGCACCCTTTTTCTTTAAGAAAATTATGAAAAAATAACAAGGATTTTATAGCATTTTCAAATATGGCTATTTAAACTATATGTAATAAAATTATGAAAAGAAAAATAGGTGTTAGCGGGCAAAATTTTTATTGGAACTAACATGGATAAAACTAGAGGATTCCGAATATCTGACAAAAAGTCAAAAACAAGAGTAGCGAACATCCTTAACAAAAGATAACATGTCTAGAGACTTCATAATGTTCATCCTTTCCTGGACTACAGTTTGTCTCTTTAAGAATGAGGTCTGGGAAAAACATGTACTTGATTTAACTGAGATTTTTTAAAAATCAAGTCATTTTGCATAAGTTGCAATCGTATAAACACATTGTCCAGATTTTATATATTGATTTCTGGAAAAAAAAGATATATTGTTTGTAAACATGAAGATATATTTGATAATTCAAAATAACAACTCCTATTTATCTTTATTGAACTTAAGTGGGTATATGAAACTTTGTTAATATATAAGTCAAGTATAAAGATAAGAATAAAAATATGATATTGACTTAACATTGTTCTAACAAGAAATTTTAATATTTGTAACATCATTAACAATATTCAGATCATCTCTCATTGGTGAAATTTGTACCACCTGCTTTCATTCATTCTTTCAAATATATATGTTTAATGAAATTAAATTAAAATAAGGATGAACTTCATATAAGAATGAAATAATTCTGATAGAACAAGGCTTAAAAAACTAAATCAGAGGGGAATCCTGATACTGAAAAGTCCTACATCCTCCTAACTTTTTACTTAATATTTTTTTAGAGAAGTATAATTTAGTTTTACTATAAAGCATTCAACTAGAAATTGGATTAATTGGCCTAAAAAATATTAATTTGCGTTTACCCTTGTTTAAAGTGTGAAGTTCAACATCAGAATTATCTAATATCCAAATATTTTGTTGATCTTATATTCAGATAAAGTTAATATATACTACTCACCACCCTTATACATTGTTATGTATGTAACATAAACATTGATCGTTGTAAATAATGAAAGTAAATATTGTACATTAATAGAAAGAGGCAGTATTTTTACCTTTGAATAAACAAAATTTCTGATTTCTTATTTAATATGACTAAAGTATGAGTAGAACTTGACTTGAAAAAGAAAAGCCTTGTTAATAAAACAGAGAATAGGTTATAAAGGTCAATGTTTATAATAATAATATTAAAACTGTTATTCTGAATAAACCCAAAGAAATGAAATAGACTTAGTAATCTGATCATTTTGAATGTGTCTAAAACAGTTCCTGGACCTACATGTACAGGGATCATGTAGTTGCCACTTTTCTCTCCAACAGCCTATCCATGATTCTGAAACAGATGCTTTCCAAATGAAATGTTGAATTTTCCTAGCCTAGGATGATTGAAATAAAATTATACATGTACCATTGAAAGATATAGGTAAAGGGGAGAAACCTATTATGTGTAGGGGTCAATTGGTGATGGTTAAAGTTTAAGGTCACATACTAATAATGGATTTTTAAAACAAATGCTTTTGTGATTGAATTATGAGGTTTACCTTGCTCATTTTGAACCTACACATGTATCAGTTATGGGTGTGAAAAAGTCAAAATTCAAGGTTGCTGTTACCAAAAAAAAAAGGTTCAGTGTCTAGGTGAATTCTCTTGAAGTAGATCTATTTTTTTTATTTTTCAGCAATGATATTTGGAATGCTCAATTGAAAAGGAACAGTACTTCCCAGAATTGTTTCATAACATGTACAGTTTGTACAGCTTAGATATTTTTAAACGTTGCTTTGTAACCTTGATATGAAGAAGCTAGGGAGACATATGTCTTGTGTAGAGATGATTTTTATTATGATTCAGTCAAACACAATAAAATGAACCTCTTTGTTTCAGGATGTTGGAGGACAAGATAAGATACGACCATTATGGAGGCATTATTATTCTGGAACACAAGGACTTATATTTGTAGTAGATTGTGCCGATCGTGACAGAATAGACGAGGCTCGACAGGAGCTACATAGGATAATTAATGATAGAGAAATGAGAGACACTATTATACTTATATTTGCTAATAAACAAGATTTACCTGATTGTAAGTCAAGTTATAGGATTATTTCTTTAGGGGGTATAATGTGTGGGGCTAAGGTGTATCTCTGAATTTATCGAAAGGACCAAATACTTCATGTCTTCAAAATAAGTGATTCTGAAATATGGACCTTTAAAGTTTGTTAAAGGGGCATAAGCTGTCAAATTCATGTTCACAGATTTGACTCAAATTCTCATATTTGATTTATAACATACTAAAACGTATATCAAAATAACAAAAAGTCAAAAATAAACAATTAACATTGCATGAATTCGATAATATGTATCAACATTTCTTGTGTAATTTTGTCTAGACGTCATCTAATTAACCATCAAGATGACTGCCGACAGCCATTTAACTCGATATAAAGAGATAGTGACCACGTGCAATTGGATTTTTCTATGTCTGTTTGATTTCAAATTGTAGTTTAAAAAGTATGTTTATCCTGGTTTTTACCTACACAAGAATGATTTTTTTGTGGATCGAATCAGTCAACCAAATGGTTCATCCTTGTTTCACTTTCAATGTTGACATTCTTTTCCTTATATCAGCTGAATTCATGCATAACCCATGTCCAGCTAAGGGGTTAATTGAAGGTCACATAAATACAGATTCGATGAGGTTAAATTATTCACTTGCAAGTAAATAATTCATCAGTGATGTTCTTAGCTTATTTTGACAAAATTGAACTAAATTGGCTGCTATAAGCGAATTATTATTTCATTATTTCACTTTCATAAATGATTTAAAAAAAAAAAGATTTTTTTTTTTTTTTATATCTCATAGCTATTAAATGTCCTTTTAAAGGATCTTCCATAGTAAAGAGGGTAAAAGGATAAATCAAACTGATCCATTGATTTCAATGAGGACCAGTAAGAATAAAAAAAAGTTGAAGGGCTGGTACCTCAATTAACAGGAAACAATTAAATATACTTCAGGACTAGAGTATGTTGACACAAATTTTATTCCTAAAACACTTTATAAAATTAATACTTGGTAATACCATATATATATCAAGAATGCTTAGTTACTTATAGAACATTTTAAAATTATTTGGAAAAAGGAAAACCATGATTTTAGAAACAATTTTGATATATTTGCTGACCTAGATAGAAGTCTATTCATTTGTTCAAATTATTCAAATGATAAATCATGTAAATGAGCATGTGTTGGTGTTCTTGCACCTTATCATAGATTGGGATGGAATTCTGGCATAGCATTGTAGCATGTGGTGAAATTCTGGCATAACATTGGATAGAAGAAAAGGAAAAAAAGACATTAGCTCTTAATAAAAAAGATAGTATTTTTGATATATGCAAGAATTATTTTGAGATTTACTAGGATTTGTACAATACATCAAATCAGTTGTATATATTTTTAAATCATTTTATTTGTAAAAGGGCCTTCAGAAATAACAATATAGCATTGCTAGTTTTATATAACTCTATATATGGTACTGCTTAAAGAGATTAAAAATCTAAAAATGAATAAAAATAAACACAAAATTTTTATGCATGCAATGATCATGATGATGATTTTGTTCTTCATGTTGAACACATATGAAGGACAGAGTTTAACAAGAGAAAACAAGCCTTGTTTCAGATGAGTAATGAAATAAAAAAATAAAATGAATGTATTAAATTGAAATAAAATGTGATGGTCTCAAAATAAATATCATTGTTCTTTTCAGCAATGAAACCACATGAAATTCAAGAAAAATTAGGATTAACACGTATACGTGATAGAAATTGGTATGTTCAGCCATCATGTGCTACATCAGGAGATGGACTATACGAAGGACTCACTTGGTTAACATCCAATCAAAAGTCTTGACCCTAGTCATTATATTTAGTGTACTGCAGCTTCATCCAGAATGGGCCAAAAACAGGAAGAGACTGGCTGAAAAAGGCCGCCTACATTTCTTAATTCTATCTAAAGTGCTGTTTTGTTGTAAATTTTTGCAGAAGAATTATCTAATAATGTATGATGATGATAATTATGTAAAGAATGGAATGTTTTAAGTCCAATGACACATGTATACATTTAGAAATGGAGGGATTTTTCTCAGCGTTAGTGGTTATGTATGTTGATAGACGATACTGTTGAATGGAGTCACCTCTTTGCTGCAGATTATTATTTAATCATTTAAAGAAAATTTTAACATTATATTTTCTTCATTTTTATTTAGCTTGTATATTTTAACAAATAAGCTTTTTCCTCCTCCCAATATGTCCATGTATCATGCATATGTTGATCTTTTTATTTCTCAAATTTTCATCCATAGCATTGTAACTTTTTTAGTACTTATTAATATTAATAAACACTTTGGTTAACTATCATGAATGCAAAATTTGGAAAAACCATATCAATGGTATATTTAAGGTATTCAATGTAAAAGTGAGAACTTTCAAGATTATCCACATATTATTATGATTTTTCTAAATTTTAAGGTTCTTATTAGTGAAAGGAAAAATTCTAACCCCATAAAAGGAATTAAATGAGGGAACAAAATACATAGGAAATAACTGGCTCGGGATGTATATATAATGTTGAAATACCCATGCATACCTCTACAATTTTATTTTGCTTAAAATGATGTCCATATTGAATACCTGATTGTCATTAACATACATGTAGACCTATATTTATAGAAGAGTTTACAATGCAGTATTGTACACCTTTTTTGATTTAAGGTAAAATTCAGATCTTCAAATTTTCATTTGAAATAGAATTTTTGTTACATGAAAATAAAGAATTTATTAATAACACTTATCTCTAAAAGTTCAATTTCTGTCTTCATTTAACAGTATAATAATACAATCAAGTTCACTGGGTCATTATGGTTACTTTTTTCAACTTTGACTGTGTACTGAATATGATTGTATCACTTTCTTGTGTGACACCAAAACTAAAATTCGACTTGACTGTAATTATTTTATTTTTTTTAATATTTATGAAATTATCTGGATTTTGTTTTTCAAACATACTGATAATTAGTTTCCAGATGATGAGAAAATAACTTTTACTTCTTATTTAAATGTACTATTATCTTAAATGCATTCATATAGTTTACAGTTAACATAACTTACACACTTATAGTTTAAAAGATATTTAAAAGGTGTTTAAGTGGAGAAGCTTTTTGTTGATGTACATATTTTTTATATTTTTAATATGCTGTATAAAGCAATGTTTCCGTTTTAAATTGTTATAGTTTGAAAGATCTAGGCATCAGAGCTGTATGGAGTTATGGCATACATGTAGTTGTAAATTTTGATTGACAGACATAGTCATACAGTTTCTTACACATGAAGAAATTGAGTTTAATTGTTTGTAAAATTGTAATTGTGCAATCTGAACTCTCATTTTATTGTAATGTGTGATTAATTTTTTATACAGTTGAACCACAGTTATTCAAACAAACATCAGCCTTTGTTTTACATAATCATTTAAAAGTAAGAACTAAACATATGTATATTAGTCAGTGCTTACAATTCAACTAACTGGAGAGCTAAGTTTTGAGTAGCTGTGGTTCTACTGTAGATCTCTTGCTCAGTAGGTAGCAACAAATTGAAGCCTTTCCTTGTATGTATTAATATTAAAAAATATGGGATAGATTAACAAGAAACCTCAAAAACATGTATGTAGTGTTCAAAAGCAGTTCTGGATAAAACAAGAACTGTTGAATTAGGGAGACTTGATGTAGGCTATTTAGATTAACATTACCTCTGTAATTCACTAATATCTTTTTAATTATTGTTTAACCTTTCTCATTTCTGTTAAAGTTGGAATTGTAATTGTAAAAATTAATATATTCTATTAAGATATGTTTGAACAAAAAATCATGTGTGGTTAATTGTTCTATTCAGGGTATATATTTAATACCTGGTGCTGATTTATCATGTGATTTGGTAGGAATTTCATTAAGAAAAGGGAATTAGAATTCTTAATGGTTACGTTTCAAAGTGTCAAGTCTAGATAAAACTTTCCAGTGTTTCTGTTGAGGAATCATTTATCTTACTCCCATAGTAGTTCTCCAGTTGAAATAAATATGTTAAACTCTCTATGATTTTAAGAAACATAATTTTGTAATATTAAATGTAACTTTTGAGTAAATAGGATTATCAGAGTCAATATAAGTTTGAAAAGCCGTCAACAGAATCGACATTTTTGACTAATAGTTGTATTTTACAGGTGTTTTAAGATAATGTTATTGTTGATTCTTTATGAAATAAACCAAATTATTTCATTTCCGACTTCTTTATGTGACTGGTTTCCTGTTTTAAATTATGAAATCTTAGAACAGTAAAACATATCATGTTAATGTAATAATCATGATTTATAAAGACATTGAGTTTGATCAAGATGTTGTAATCATGATTTGTAAATGCATAGAGTTTGATCAAAAACTATAAGATAATAAAAGAGAAAAGTAGAAATTCCTAGTAGCTTGATGCATGAAAAGTTTTACCATTTAATTCATTTACAATTTATAGTGAATGATAGCTTTTTTGCTTATATTGAATTTGTTAATTATTGATGTGAATGTTTTATATGAATGATTTGCTTCGGAATACTTCCATTCATAAGAAAAAAATATGTAAAGCACTTTCATTTATATATTAATGCCTTTAGGTTATTTAAAGTTGATAAACAAATATTTATAAAGACATATATTTAGGGGAAAATATATACCTGGTAATTCTTTTTGTGATTTTTTGATTTTTGCAATATCTACTCAGTTTTAGTTTATTTATTTTGCATACTTCATTAATAAAAAATAGTTGATATAAAGAAAAGATAATTAAAAATCAGTTTCTCAGTATTTCTACCACGTCTTAAGATTTTTTTTTTAATAAAAATGAATTGTAATTTATACTTGAGGGAAAAAGACTTTGAATCTTTGTCAGAAAAATATAAAGATTTTTTTTATTACAAAAGTTCTTTGAAAGATAATATTGATAAAACATTTGATAAAGTAAAGTGAAATACAGGAATTCTGAAAATTAAAGAAACAAGTTAAGTTAGAAGTTGAAAAAACACATTTTTATATCCTAATGGAAGTATTTAAAAACATGTGAAATTTAAACTGTGCATAGTTTTAAATGGTAACCATTACCCTAATATTTTAACTGTGCATTTATTTTGTTTTTATTGTTATATAGTCAGCTTCCATTAAAGGGGAGACAAATCTTGTTATATTCAGTAAAACACATGAATTCTGGTAAAACCGTGTATAATGAAAGTATGCAAATGTTATTAAATAAGTATAACATGATACAAAACCAAACATGAATGTGTTTTCTATTTAATGCCAATAATCTGTGAGATGGAGTAAGGCTACAGTCCGTGTAACGTAAAAGTTAACAATACGAACGATGCCCGAATCATGTACGGACGATGCCCGAACGATGTACGTACGCTTCCCGAACGGTGTACGAATGCAAACGAAACGCTGACCGAACGTTGTACGAACGCTGAACGAATGATGTACGAACGAAACCATGTACCATAAACCATACCATAAACGATAACATAAGCACCCTTATATCGTACATCGTATGGTTTTGCGTAAATCTTTTCGTTTAGCGTATATCGTATCGTTTAGCGTACATCGTTTCGTTTAGCGTATATCGTATCGTTTAGCGTACATCGTTTCGTTTAGCGTATATCGTATCGTTTACCGTACATCGTTTCTTGGCGTACATAGTTTCGTTTATCGTATATTGTTTTTTAAAATATATAAAACATGAACAATGTATTTTAGACGGAATTCGGAATTAATCTAATGTTCGTACAAAAGTATATTCGGAGTCTTAAGGTTTGCCTTTTGTTCAAAAAATTTGTTAATCATATTTATATATTCTCTTTTATCGCATGTATTTTAACATCGACTGAATAACAGTTTCATTTATATATCGTAATTTAACTTTTTTTTTAGATTATAGATATATTTTTATTCATCTATCAAATCAGTCGAAAAAAAATTCGAATTCTTAAGTGAAATTATAATTGAGCGTCTTCATTTTTGTATTTTCTAACAACAACAAAAAATAGACCGTTTCCCTCTATTCTTCAATTTTCTAAGACCATTTTCCTCTATTCTTTATTTTGCACGTTATACTCTATTCTTGTTTTATATTTTTTACTTTATTTTCCTGTATCTGTATTCCCTTTATTCGTAGCAACCCACCCTAAATATACATATGCTACACAGGGTCTATAGGTCATCGCTTGTGCCGTGATACACATGTTTGCATAACAAAGGATGTTCTTGTTCATATTTATAACATTTTAAATGTCCTCCTAATAATACATCTAATAGTTGCCACTGGACGTTTAACAGCTAACTATAAATTTATCCGTCATATTCTTAGTTTTGTTATAATGTGTAAATCAAACAACATAATGAAATACTTGCAGATTTTCACTGCCAAAATAATAGGAAATAATTGTACACAAAACCACTCAATCACATCGCTACGCCACAAAGTCTAGCTTTTTCACATGTAAATAAATTATTATCATTAATCTATTTCAAATTAATTTTAAATGATTTTAAATCAAACGGTCATTTTACTAATTTGCCAAAAAAAAACAGTTATTTTCATTTCTTTTTTTAAACAGATCGATTGTTTTTCAATGGTCGGTACCTGACAGCATTTATGAAATCTATTTTCATTTTTGCCAGTAAGAAAGCTACATAGAACAGGAAAAATCAGTGTCATAGAAATACTTCCAGGCTTAGTTTTTTTAATTTCTGTTGACATGTGGTTTAATGCAAAAATGTAACTCCTGAATACTGTATTTGTACCCACCAAGCATTTTGGGATTAATAACAAATCAATGGTAGTCTCTTGTACTTTACTTTGCATACAGTAAAGATAAGAAATAAACAAATACGTCTCCGAAGAATGTTGCTTTTGATGATTTTTTAAAAGATGATACCGGTATATCTTTCTTGATAACGCGTGAGCTTCGTGGGGGCTTCGATCTCTGGAACCCGTGTACACTAGCTCTGTCACGGACACGCTGGGGTATGTTGCGGCCACTAGGCGCCTCTTCGAAGTTCGGGCGTACACTTAAAAAAATGCCTAGCTACGCCACCTTAGGTGTCTGTATCAATTTAGACTTCATCTTTCGTTTAAATATATTCATATTTCTGGACGTACGTATGTCGGGGTTTAGGCTATTCCATTCAATAGTAGTAGATGGAAAAAAAGGATTTTCTGGTTATATCTATCTATAACTGGGTATCACATAATTATTACTGTTTCGCAAATTATAATTAGATATTTGACCAACAAGTGGCATTAAATCGTAGAGGTAGTCCCATTATATAAAGAATAGAACATAGTGAGCTTTCTGGACTTTCTTCTGTCCACTAGCAAATGTCAGCCTGTTTCACTTAAAATATATAACTTACTGACTAGCAAACACGGGCAACCCAGTTACTAATATTCCTGCTTCTAACTAAACATGTTCTAAATTGTCGGAATCTTGTTGAGTACAACCATAGCATAGCATTTGCCTTGTAAGGGTTAAAATCAATAAGCCAATCTTAAGACCATGCTAAGATTTGTTCTAAATCGCTATTTAAGACATCCTCTATTGTGTAAGGACTATTACTTGAATAAAAAAGGGATGTTTCATCAGCACACAATCGAGTTAGACTTATTAAATTACCAGCTATGTCAATTTACATGAATAAGGAATAGAAGGGGACCCAATACAGAGCCTTGCGAAACTCCTGCTTTAGTATTCTCAAAAGGCGAAGCGTTTTTTTTTCTATTTGAAATATAACTAATTAAGTGATTAAGACGTTGCGCACGGTATTGGTGTCTCTTTGGAAATATACGATAGATGGCGAGTTATTCAAATTCAAGCTCTTTTCCCTACAGTAAATTTCCATGTTCTGCATACCATTCGAAAGGAAATAAACCAAAGAAATCGATAACATAGATGAGTTTGTGCTTTGTACATTATATAATGAAAAACTCTGTTTTCAATTATGTTCTTATATCTCTTGGTCATATGCTTAATGATATCTAGTATATTTGAGGATTAAAACAACAAAGCTATGTGACAAAAACGGATGTCCAACGTTACATTTTTGAACAACTGTTTTAACTCCTATGTATAGTAATCCTATTTCTTATCCTCTTATCTTCCTAAAAATTAGCGGGAACAACGTCGTGTGTCGGTTCTTTGTGATATTAAAGTCGTTATGTTGTCAAATTCCATTTGACACGGTGGCTACATATCAAGCTGTAGTAAGAAAAATGTCCAATGACGTTTTTCGTTGACTCAACGACTGATAGTGAATTTTATAAGTAGATACAGCAGAAAATGTCTAAATAAAGTAAGATAATAATAACATCTACCAAAAGTACGAATATTTGCCTCATACTTTGTGAGTTTAAACATTGTAGTTTCTATAAATTCTTCTCTACACAGTCGTTTTTCAAGCGGTAGTCATTTTGTCCAAGTTGATATTTCATTTGTCAAAGCAATAAATGCGGGTTTTTTACCTGATATATTTATAATTTCTCAAAACAAAAGTTAGATACACGAAGAGTACAAACTGCCTAGATCCTTTTTTTCTTAACTACATGTTTGCGTCCTAAAGGAATCATATGCTACGAAACATTACAAAACGGTAGTCATTTTGTCCAAACGTCTGAAAACGTCGAAAAATCCGGAAAACGCTTATTTCCGACGTTACATGTGCTATATAATCTTGTTTCAATTAAATGTTCCTGATAATAAAAACAAATCGAGTAGTGAAACTTGGAAAAAGATATTGATGGCTGTCGAAAAAAAGAATGTGCATGTTGCTAGACTCGGAACATATATTCGACACAGATTAAATTTTGCTATTTTTATGAATCATTTTTAGCTTTAAGCGATTTATTTAAAAGAATGATGAAATGATAAAAAAAATATCTCGTTACATGAACTACATCCGACGTTTAAAACTTAAGCAGTTAGGCAAATTTAGATCACTGGGGAAATACTTTTCAAGCTTGGGTTCAAGTAATGAAGAGTTGTATTTCGACAAATTATGTGTCAATTAGAATACAATTCAAATCAAATTAAACAAAGGAAAAATGTTTTCATTTACTTGCAGAGTGTTAGATATATTTGTATCGGGGTTGAATCAAGATATGGAAAATTTACAATGACAGATGATATGCACCATGAAATTTTAGCAGCCTCTGATAACACTTTTGTACATCTAAAAAAAAAATTTAATTGATTTATGGAAAACCGTATACGTCCCATTTTCCTTCCTACATTACTTACGAGCATTTTTAGGTGAATTAAGGGTAAACATTGTTAAATCGATTTTCACAACTTGAGGTAATTCGTGGTAAATAGACATCATAAAAATTAATGAGACAGAATCAACCAACCACATATAAAAAACAAAATAAAACTTACTTAATTTAATTAATTGACGTCAAAATTTTAGAAAACCCTCTTTGACGTCGCATTTTTTGGAGTAACGTCGTGTTGTAGGAACATCGTGCGCAACGAAAGTAGATTTCTTTTTATTTTCGCAGAACACAACATGGCGTGAATATTGATTTTTATACTTGTAAAACAATGTAAAAACAAAACCAAAACCATTGAAATCGAAAAGTAATCCGTTTGGAAATGGTATAAAAAAAATGTCAAAGAAGATTTAGTGTAAACCGATACTCAGTAATATCAGAGACATATAATACAATAGATATATAATTTGATTATGATAATCTTAACACTGAAAGCCGATCTGTTTCATAATCAGTTTATGATATTATATTAGAACATTCATCTTTACTTCGAGTACTTTTAATACTTTTAATTACCTAAGAAGATCTCGCGAGGATTTCCTAGTGGCCAGGAGATATTACTTTAGTTCGACGAGTTGCAAATCTCTTGTATTATATGTCTCTGGTAATATGTTGACTAGAAATGGAAGCGCTAAATATATTACAAATAAGAGAAAAGACTGTAGCTCTCAGAAATCAAGGATTTTGTTTTAAAAATATAAAAAAACTTACATGCTATATTGTTCCCTTTGATTTATTTGTCTATTGATGTGTACATGGTTTAAAGTTTTGTCTTTTTAACTACAATTTGTATTTTTCTTTTGCAAGAATCTTTTGAGAACCTTGTTTAATGTATTTTAATAAAAGAATAAGTGACTGTTGCACTACAAATGTACATGTACTTGAAGGTTTCATTTTTTCGTTTCAGTTTACAAAAGTTCACCTGACAACCAAAAAGAACTGCCAACCAAGA